TGGAATTCCCATTCTTCTTAGAGTTATCCGTAGTTTTTGTGATCCACGCAGTAAGATGCCTTTGCATAATCAATGAAAAACAGACATTCCTCTGGTCCTCCCTGCTTTCAGCCAAGATCCATCTAACATTAGCTACAATATCCCTAGTACCACAACCCCTTTTAAAGCCAGCTTGCACTTCTGACAGTTCTCTATTGATGTGCTGTTCCAGTTGATTTTGGATAATCTTCAGCATAATCTTGCTTGCATGTGTTATTAATGATATTGTTCCACACTCTATTCAATCACCTTTCTTTGGAATGGGAACAAATATAGATCTTTTCCAGTCAGTTGGCCAAATGGTTGTCCTCCAGACTTCTTGGCACAAATTGGTGAACACATCTAGGGCACATTGTGTCAATTGGTCTACCAGCAATTCCTGGGGCCTTATTTTTTACCAGTTCTTTCAAAGCAGCTTGAACTTCTTCCTTCATCACCATAGGCTCTTGCTCATAAGTTGTTTCATTAAATTCTTCTGCAACTGCCAATTCCTTTCTGTACAATGACTCTGTATACTCTTTTTAATGTTTCCTGGAATATTTAATATTCTTCCCAAAACATCCTTAAGTATTGCAACCCGAGGTTTGGATTTGTTCTTCAGTTCTTTCAGTGTAAGAAATGCTGAGCGAGTTTAGTCCTTTTGATTTTCTGACTCCCGCTCCTTGCACATTTCATTGTAATACTTTGTCTTGCTGCGCTGCCTCTTGAAATCTTCTGTTCAGCTCTTTAATATCTTGATTTCTTCCATCTGGTCAGCACTCTAGTGCAATATTCAGAATCTCTTCTGGCATCCATTTTGGTCTTTTTTTCTGTCCTCTGTCTTTGCAATGACCTTTTGCACTCTGCCTGGATGATGTTCTTGATATTTTCCCACAACTCATCTAGTCTTCACTCATTGGTGTTTAAGGCCTCAAACCTGTTCCTGAGATGGTTCTAAAATTCAGGTGGGGTAGACTTAAGGCCATATTTTGGTTCCTGTGTATTTAATTTCATTTTCCTTAGCTTCAGCTTGAACTTATATATGAGTAGCTGGTGGTCTGGTCCACAGTCAGTACCTGGCCTAATTTTCACAGCTGATATTGAGCTTCTCGAGCAGTTCTTTCCACATATGTAATCGATCTGATTTCTGTGCATGTCATCAGGTGAAGTCCATGTGTATAGCTTGCATTTATGTTTCTTATTAAATGTATTTGAAATTAATTGTTGATTGTGCAAAATGCAATCATTCTATCTCCAGCTTCATTTCTGTCACCAAGTCCATGTTTTCTGGTTACTGATCCTTCTCTGTTCCCAACTTTTGCATTTAACTCACCCATTATTATTAATGCATCTTGAATGCATGTTCGATTGATCTCTGCAGAAGTTCGTAGAAATCTATTTCCTCCTTTTTTACTCTGGTTGTTGGTGCATAAATCTGAATGATAGTGATATTTACTGGACTTCTTGTATGCATATGGATGTTATCCTGTCACTCACAATATTGTATTTCAAGACACATCTAGAAATGACTTTGTTAACTATGCAAGCAACCTTTTCATCTCCAGCATAATAGATTATATGATTGTCTGATTCAGAATGTCCCATGCCAGTCCATCTCATCTTACCAATACCTGGTAGGTCAATATATATGTTTTCCATTTCTTTCTTAACAATATCTAATTTTCCTGCATTCATGGTTTTCACATTCCATGTTCTAATCACTAGTGTCTGCTTACAACTGTTCCTCTTCCTTTATATTTCCAAACTTGAATGTTCCTATCTGCTAGTCTAAGCATGTTCTATTGGACTTTCTATTGGACTTTCAAATGCCTGCTATTTCAGAAGTCCAGTCCTTCTTCCTAGTCTGTCTTAATCTAAATGTTCAGATTTAGAAAAGTATCTGTCTTAATCTGAATATTCAGATTTAGAAAAGCATTATATGGGAAAAAAAGCAACTGAAAGATATTTCCCCAATTGTAGAATTAACCAATAGTTTTAGTGTTGTCCCCACCCCTGACATAAGTGTCTTGACCCACCCATTTCCCTGCTCCACCAGCATCCCCTTCTACTCCCACCCACTTCCTTCAACACCTATCTCTTGTTTGTTATCCAGCTATTGATCTGATAGCTTATATCTTAAACTTTATGGGCTTCTGTGATTCCAAACATTTCAAGTTGCTGCCAATTTCTTATGCTGTGGCTGATGTCTCTTGAGTTTAGGGGTAATGTTTCCCAAGGGAGGATGATGTATCCAGTAGATCTGGCATATAATGTTCTCACTACTACTTGTTTAAAAGGTTGTCTCATCATTTTTGTTAAAACCAAAAATGAACATAAACTTTGAGCCCTTTAGCAGTCCCTGAGAACATGAAAAGCATTTTGGAAGGATCTAAATGTCCTGTGATTGAAGAAGGAAAAGTACCTGGTGTTTAGTCTGCTCATAATTTTGAGTGTCTAATTTAACAACAACAACAATTTATTAGTAGGGAGCTCTGGTGACCTAATGGGTAAGGAGTTGTGCTTCCAAAGGCAGGTTGTTTGAATCTGCCAGCTGTTCCACAAGAGAAAGATAGACAGTCTTTTCCTGTATTTTCAGCCTCTGAAAGCCCACTGGGGGGTCAGCTATGAGTTCACTTCAAGTCAAAGGCACGTAAAACAGCAACACAATTTATAGTATGTTAAAACTTCTTTAAAATAACATTTTAGTAGGGCAAAAATAAAAGAATGGTGTGTGTCTTAATAAGATTTAATAGAACTTAGTCAATGGGGGACTTAGGGACCTTCGCAGAAGAAAGAGCACCTTAGAACATGCTGCGTATCCTGGAATCGTCAGTGTGATCACTGATGATGTCACCAGCATGGTGAGAATGTCCCATGGAATCCTGGGATGCTTCCAAGATGAGCAGCCAGCCAGTTCACACTGTTGTGCAAAGTACAACAAACCAATGGCTAATGTTTCAGCACCTGTTATCAATCACTCATACCTTAACACACCCTTCATTCTTTTACATTTTTGCTCCTCAATCTTCCTACTTATTTTGGTAAGAATTTTTTTTTTAAACCACTAACAGGCTTACCAGGTTGTTTCACCTACTTTATTCCTTTCTGTCTTCCACAGCCTCTTGGTGCCCTAAGAACAGGTGAATGCACCAGCAGGTGTCTAAAGTCTAACTTCTTAAAGTACAACTTTCTGTTGAGATTTCTTAAAGCATATCGAAGTAAAAACAATTGGCTGAGTGAAATAAGTAATAGATAATATTTCACTGTGTTTTTTAAAAAAACAACACAACTATGAGTTTCTATTTTAATGATGAGTGAGAGGTATGTGTAGCATGGACCAGTGCAGAGCAAGTGGTCAGATCTGTCATGTTCGTGTGATCTGGAATAGCAAAACTGGAAAAAAAAGTAGAAAAAGCAATAGATTCCTATTATTCACATTTCTAGATCATATATCATGTATAAAACATCGTACGTTTCGTCCTTAAGACTGGTGACACAGTGGTTACACATTTGGCTGCTAACCAAAAGGTTTGTGGTTCCAACCCACTAGAAAAAGATGTGGCAATCTGCTTCCATAAATGTTACAGCTTCAGAATCACTTTGACAACAGTGGAGAAGATAAAACTGGACAGCTGCTCCTAAAACAAGTATCATTACTGTGAAAAGTTTCTTATTTACATCAGAAACTCCCATGCCTATGTTCTGTCCACTGCCAGGTTAACACAGCCAAGCGCACTGACCATTATAGATTTATTTGGTTGTTGAGCCTGTACCAGTAATGACCATCAATAAGAGGACATGGACCAGATTGGGGACAGTGTCAAATATGTCACACAAGGGAAACAGGAAGTGTGGGCAATGTGGTTAAACACAAAACCAAATTCAGAAAAGCAGAAGATGCCAATATGGAAGAAGACTCTAGAAAAGGAATTATATCTCATTCAAGTGTCTGTGTTTTTAAAAATGGCAAAGCCTTTTTATCTTTTAAATGGTGTGTGTCTAGAGGAAGTACAAAAATCCTGTGTCTTTACAATTGTTAAATTGTAAGCAGTAGTCTATCTAAAGCTTCTAGTACAAGGAGATAAAGCAAATAAATCATAGTTTTATGGTAAAGAAGTAAGTTGCAGGTCCCCAAAACCCAAACAATGCCTTAGGATTTATAGTAAAATAAAAAATAGATGCCACTGATAATCTTTTCTCCCTGCAGAAATAGAGTGGAGCTCTTGAATTACAAGAGCAATTACAAAATCTAGCTACAAAACTTGCTTGAACTGTGAAAAGAACGGCACACTGAAGTGTGGCGACTGAGATTCCTGTACAAAATCTTGGTTTGCACAGCATTGATAATTTGCACCTGAATTGAAAGGGTCTAGGATGGGACAATGACAAATAGTAGCTTTCTAAGTATATTTTGTATGTCATGAAGATTCCCGACCCGTTACCAAATCTATAAACACAGTGTGTTCTCAGTATTTCCCTCCTGCCTCCCAGAGAACCCGTTTTTCTTATGTAAGACCCTGGTGAGTCAGGCTCTAGCTGTAGAGGCACGTAATTCTTGGGAGTGTGTGAACAGCAAGGCTGTAAATTGAACTGCTTTCCTGCCCTTCCTACCTAATTTCTTTCTCCCTATGCTCTAAAGACTAGAGTATGTATCTCTTTCTGACCTCAGAGCTAGTATTTAACTCCAAAAGTATCCTTTGCAAATGTCTTGCATGTTCTAATTTGTATGGCGAAATAGGAAAATGGCTCATCTGAGCACCAATTGGAGATCGTTTTATACCAACGGTCTTCGGAAGCGTCCCTTTTTACCCCCTTTGACTGTCTAAAATGCCCTTGCCAGCCAGACCCCTTTGCTAGCTATACAGTGTTTGCACATTTCCTTGTTAATCAGCTGTGTAGGCTAAGAGACTGTGTGTTTTGGTGTTGTTTGTGTGTGCAATCTCGTGCTGCTTCCTGAACGCATGTGTCCCTTCCCTTCACAGCCTACTCGACACCCAGCACCTCCCCCGCAAACCGATTCGTCAGTGTTGGACCACGGGATCCAAGCTTTGTAAATATCCCTCAACAGACACAGGTGGGCCGCTCTCATCTTTTCTGTATGTGGTGCAGCTTGTTTTATTTATCAGGTGCATTTTAACTTGTCTTTCAGCACAGCAGGCTGCATTTTCCCAGCTCCTCTTCAATCCCCTTTCCTCCCAATCCCACCTTCCCCTGGCCCCAAGTTCATGTGCTGTCAGCCATCCTGGGGAAAGTTGCTGGTGCCTTTTGCTTCTTGTGTGGAGGGGATAAAAGGGGGAGGGCTTCCAAGCCAGAACCTCTTGTGTTGTGGCAAGAAATGTTTCACAGGGTTAGACGTATGTGGTGCCCCTTTTAGAAATTTTAGGCTCTCTGCATGCAAATGGACAGATGTGAGCCCCTAAAGAACACTGTGAAGTAAGATCTGGTGGCCCAGTGTCACAGCATATATTGGAAATTTTAGGGAACCCAACCCCTCTTTGGTATGCATTATAAATATCCAGGAACCTGGATAATCTTTCTAACAGAAGCAAGGGTCTGTGAACCCCGCCAGGTGTCCGGGTTTAAGTATAGGAAATGCTTATGAATGACTATTCTTGGTCCTCTCAAGAGGTAGATGGACACAGTGACAGCAACAGTGAACACGATGTAGATTGTGAGGATGAAACAGGAAAAGATAAGGCTTTGATCAAGGCATTGCTAAGGGTCATAGTGGAAATGGACCTAGCACCATCACCGCTGCAAGAGGGACATGGTGGAGACGTCAGATTTTGAGGCAGTTGATGGAAAAAATACTATTCCAGGTAATCTGGCCCTTTTCCCTTCCAAAAGGCAATAGTGAAGATCATGGAGAATTGGGATATTTTTCTCTGAAATACTGCAAGTTTTTGTTTTGTTTTCCCCAGTTCAAAGGTATTTAAAATTTTGTCATGTAGAGTCCAGTTCCTTTTTTCAAGAAACGATTCTCGGTTTCCTAATTAGAATGAGATTCAGTGCAATCACAATGGACAAAAGGAAAGGGTTTTTTTTCCTCTGGAAGGTTCTCAACGTAGTGTTTGAAAAATTCCCTGGGATATTTTGTGCATATGCTTGGATGTGTAATCTCCAGATGCCTAATTTATAACTGTTCATCTTTGTTAGTAAAACCATGACCAGGTGCTTATGAACAGGATGGATTTGGCTCCCCGGGTTCATTTATTCTCTCTGTAAAGGACTTTAGTTTATTGCTAGGTCGACAGTACAGGTTAAACGGCATTGGATCTGAAACGTTCTTCACACTGTAGAAGGGTCAACAAAAGTACAGCGTCAGGGGAGGCAGCTGGGAGGAGAGGGGAAGGGAAGGTTAACTGTTTAATTCCTCACTTCTGCTGTTTCTTCTTGGACTGGTAAAATCTTCTGGGTAAAATCTCCCATTCAGTGCCTCTCCTCAAATCCTCCAGGTTTGCTGCTGATTTTACATGCATTCAAACACTTCTTGAATTTGAGTTTGAATAATGACCTCAAAGGCATTGTAAGAGAACACAGTTTCATCCTGTGTTCTTTTGGCTTACAACTTGAAGCTCAATGACAGGGGATTCTTGGGGACAGTAGCTCTGTATTGGATGGCATGCTCAAGTTACTTCATTTAAGGACCTCAGAAATGTAGCTTTGAAAATGTCCTGTTTATATTTTACATAGTGTCTTTTATGTAAGCTGTGATTCACAGCATTGAAACTGGACCCTGTATTCCATTCACTATATTTCTCTATAATTAAAAGATGAGATATTCCAATATTGCTTTGTTTCACAAAGGCCTTATTTAACCCAGAAACTGTGGCTTCCTGATGTTGACTACACAAAAAATTCAATTCTTTAAAATCCAGATTTTCCACGCATCTGGGAGAATGATGTCATGTAGACCCAATATTGGCATCTGGAATGAAATTTTTTGGTTTCCATTAGATATTTGGCATTGAGGAGACAACAGCTTTAATGTTTCTTATCAAGGCGACACCTGCCGCATTTGGCCCGAAGAAAGACTTCCCCAGTTGTCTTATGAGAAGCTGTACTAATCAATTTATCATTTTCCCAAATAGTATACATTATGAATTATGCTCTAATTATATGCTCTAGATATTTCAGAATTTTAAGGTGCATACATTAACTCTTCTTTTAAAAAGGAAACTACTTTCTGAAACTAAGTGATAGACATAGATGATAAAAATAATAAGTGTTTGTTGTTGTGTACCATCAAGTCAGAACTGACCCATAACTGACCCTTCAGTGGGTTTTTCAGAAGCAGTTAATCACGTGGGAGGAGATTGCCGGTCTCTCTCCTGCAGAGCAACTGGTGGATCTGAATGCCTTCTGAACTGCAACACAGTGTCTTACCAGTAGTCCACCCAAGCTTCCAGTCTTTAGATAATCAATTCTTGGGAAGACATTAGTTCAGAAGAGAAGTCTTTGTTTAAAATACCCAGAATTTTTAAAGACATAATTGAACAAGGTTTACACTCTGTTTGGTAATCTCCTAAGCAAGCATGCATTTTCCCATACTGGTACTTTTATTATAAAATTTTTATTAATTAAATTGCAAGGAAAACATTTTTGACAAGCAAAATTATACTTTCTATCTCCAGAGAAGTAAACATTGAAAGTCACCCAAGCAGATACATGAGCATTCTAAATGCAGAGGAAATTCCTTGCACATAAATCCATAAACTAATGTAAAATAAAATGGCCTCCCTTTCTCCCAGTGGAAATCTCTTAAAAGGCCTGCAGCATCATCCTATAAAAGACTGATTTGATCTCATCTCTGGTTTTTGCAGAACTTGAGCTGTTGCAGAGACATTTTGCCATAGAGCCTTTAAAAGAAATTATTATATACCACCTCTATTGAGAATTTTCTATGTAATAAATATATTAGGTACATAATTAACTTTATAGTCATTCAGTCCGATAAATAAAGTTTTATCAGTTCATAATATAATTATAAATAGATATTAATTTACTGCATAGATGTGGACGCTGAGGCCAGAGGAGGTTTGTTTTTGTTTTTGAATTTTCTCAAGACCATCAAGCTATAAGAGTGAGCTCTGCTGGTCCTAGTGGACAGGGAATTGGACTGCCCACCTGAAGGCAAACAGTTCAAATCCACCAGCTGCTCTGTAGGAGAAACACAGGAAATCTCTTGTGCGATTTAAAGCTTCTGAAAACTTGCTGGAGGTTTAGCTGTGAGTCGGTTTCTGACTCAATGGTGTGCAAAAATATGAAGCCCTAAGAAGTTGAATCAGAATTTGCACTGACTCCTAACCCTTCGCTCTTCAAGCACTGTGCTGTGCTGAACCTGCTGTGTACCTTTCCATGGCGATACCAAAGATGGACACTCTACTCTCAGAAATACTTGTGGAGTATTTCCCTGCCTTTAAATTTGAGATTACATAAAACCTAGTCATTAGATAAACTCTAGAAGCCCTTTCAACAGAACCCACAGTAATTGTGTGCTTACATTTGTCAAGGCACCCCTACCCATGCCTGCACCTAGTAGGTTTTCCCATAGTTGGGTTGAGCATTGAGGATTCACAAGGCAGCTTCAAAATAAATGACTTTTTCTTATTACAGTCAGGATACATGCTAATTGTAGAAAATACAGATGAGAAAAATAATAAAAATCACTTGTCCTACTGTTAACGTTTGTGTATAAATCCATCCAGACTCCATCTATGCATACAAATATATTGCAGAAATGAGATCATATTATATACACTGTTTGGTAACCTGCTGTTTCTTTCCCTTAACAATATATTATGGCCTTCTTTCCATGTAAATTGGAAAAATTGAATATTGGCTTTTATTGCACCCATTCATCATCTGTAATGATTGGTAGGGAAAGATAACATGGATAATTGAAAGCCATTTTTCCTCCTCCTTCCTTTCCAGTCTATTTTTTCCTCTCGAGAATTCCTCCCCTCACAGAGGCAGCAGTCACCTTCCCTTCAGCCTTCCTTAGCTAGTTTTCTTTCAGACTGCCTTCCTACTGCATTCTTTAGTCCACCCCAGCTTTTGACTCCTGTTTGAATGTCTGTGCCAAGTTGCCTGCCCTGTTCTTCTGCCTCTCCTTTCTGCTCCCTCCAGTACTATCAATACTTGCTTTTCCCTTTCTTCCTTTGTAGTATAACTCATCCCTAACACAGACGTGGCCACTTTCTTAGAGCCTTTGAAGCTCCCACCTGTTCTGAGACACCTGGCCACTGCCTCCCACCGTGAATCTCATCTTTTCCAATATTGCCTCTACGACAGTTGATATTACCATATTGACAAGTCTCTGGGGCAAAAAGTATTTACTTCATTTTGAACACCGTTACTGTCCCCTGCATGCCCACTGAATGTTGTAATAGAATTATGGAGTATGCGCCCTGGTCTCAAATAGCAGAAAGCCAATGGGCATTTCAATTGCCTCCTATAATTTAATCTGACCCCTTGACAATGAGAGCCATTAAAAGGAGGCATTTATTTAGGAAAAAGTTAATATTTCATCATCAGGTAATAAATAGAAATACCAGTTCCCACACAGAAGGGCCAAGCAATGCACTCATTTTGATTCAGGTTCTGTTTTAATCAGAGTGTTCAAATAAAATGCTTAACCTACAGAACTCCAAAGAGGACTAATTCCTTAAAATGAAAAATGAGTGCAAACAGTATTAAAACCAGGCATTTCCCCTACCATCCAAATCTATCACTGCTCTGCATCAACAGAATTGCGGTATCTGAAACGCTATTTAAAACCAAATTACCATTTGGGCTATTAGAAGAATCACTTGGCATGGCATGGGCCTGATTTGTTGACAAAAAGGCACAGGTGCTGTAACCTTTGCTTAATAAATCATTTAGCTGCCTGACTTGCAAGCAGTGTGACTGCCTTTGCCTCATGAAATTTACAAATGTATGCACAAGCCACACACTCCACTGTGCTGGAGACCAGCTGATTTGGAGAGGACCCTGCATAGCTAAGTGGGGGCACAGCACCCATTGTCTGCCTCAGGGGTGGGGGTGCACAAAGCCCATGATGAGGCAGAGTAC